TGCAAAAAAACCGCCCCCCAACTTTCCCCCCGGGGAAAATCCTGGCCCCCAAGGGGAAACCGCCCCGGAAAAGGGGTTTTTTTCCCCTCGGTTTTAATCCCTTCCCCCTGGGGGGGAACCCGGGAAAAACCCCCAGTCCAGAAAGGGGCCCCAATTCCCCCTAAACGCCCCGGACCTCGGGTGGGAACTGGGGCCCCCAGACAATATCCGGACCCGGGTGGCCCCGGAAACGGGGGGGGGTGGGCTCCGACTTAACCCCCCTGAGCCGGCAATAAAACCCTAAAAGGCAAAAAAGCCAAATGGGATCCCTGGGGTTTTTCGTGCAAAGGGACAGTGAGTCCCTTTGGTTTTGGGAAACCGCTGTGGAAAGGTTAAAAAAAAGGGAATTTTCCCCCCTTTTGGGCAGGGTTAGTCCTTGCCCGGAGACCCGACCAGGAGGGGCTTTTTCCCCCAAGCCTGCAAAGTTGGGCCCCAACCAGACTTCCCACTAAAAGCGCCCCCGCCATTCCAAAAAGGGAAAAGGGGGGACTGGGGGCCCCCTACCCCGGGGGGCCAAAAACGGAAACTTACCCCCCCGGGGCGCCCCAACTGGGAAAAAGGAGGGGGTCCATAGCCGCCGGGAGCCCCGGTCAAACCTTCCCAAAACCCCGGGGACCACCGGAGGTTTTGGGGGGGTTTAACCCCTCCCTTAAACCCCCGGGAGGTGGAAAAAACCCCTTCCCCCCCACCGGGTTGGAGTCGGGATAACACGGCAGCGGCTCCTTCCCCCGGGGGGCAAAAAAAAAAGGGGGGCTTTTCCCTACCCCCCTCGTACAAGCCCAAATCCAAGTTGGGGGCCCCCAAAGAATGCAAAGGGGGACGGTTAAAGAAGCAAATAAACCAAACCCCCTTCCGTTGGGGCAAAGGGGCCCGTCGCCCAAGGTTGGGAATAGGGCCAACAAACCCCCTTGCAAGGGGTAATACCCCCTTTCAAAGCCTCCATAAACCCCCCCCGGGGAAGTTGGCCCCCCTAAGAAGGGCGAACCTCCAAACCGGGGGGGGGGGGGTGGCCTTTTACCACGGCCCTGAAATCCCACCCCAAACCTCCACCCCCCCCGAAAAAGGCTAGGAGGAAAGGGGGGGGAACCAAACCGTTGAGTAAAAGGAAAATTTTTCCCTACCCCCGGTTTTAAAGGGACCCCTTTTTCGGGGGGCAAAGGGTATAAGATTACCACAACCCCTGCTGGGGGTTTTAAAACTCTCAAAGGGGGGAACCTCCCTAAACCCGTAGGTGTTTATCAGGTTAGGGTTTCCCAGGAAACCCTTTTCACCTCCCCCCGGGGTCCCCGGGGAAATTGGCCCCCCCCCCCCCCCCCCCCCCCCCCCCCCCCCCCCCCCCCCCCCCCCCCCCCCCCCCCCCCCCCCCCCCCCCCCCCCCCCCCCCCCCCCCCCCCCCCCCCCCCCCCCCCCCCCCCCCCCCCCCCCCCCCCCCCCCCCCCCCCCCCCCCCCCCCCCCCCCCCCCCCCCCCCCCCCCCCCCCTATTTCCCTTTTGGGGGGGGATGATCCCCCTATTTGGGCCCCCTGGCCCCCCCTGGGCGGGCCCCTTTCCCTTTCCCCTCCCCCCCTGGGGAACCTTTCCCCCCCCCCCAAAAGGGGCCCCAAAACCCCCCCGACCCCAAAAACCCCCCCCCCGGGGGGGGGGTTTTTTTTCCCCCCTTTCCCCCCGTAGTTGCACCTATGGAAACACCTACACACCTCCCTGAGCACTGACGTGACCATCCCTTGAGAGCCCTCTGTTGCCACGAAATAGTGGGGTCATGAGAGGCCAACCAGGGAAGCCCCAACACCACAGGAAACGCAGGAGAATCGATCAGGAAGAGAGTAATTCTCTCCTCATGACCCTCCTGCGTTTTCATACATAGTGGAGCTGTGACCTCCTTAATCAGGCCCGACCCTAAAGGACGACTATCTAAGGCATGTACAGGGAAGGGCACATCAACAGGAACAATAGGGATCCCTAATCTACGTGCAAATGAACGGTCAATAAAGTTCCCAGCTACGCCTGAATCTACTAGCGCCTTATGCTGGGAATGCGGGAAAAACTCAGGAAATTCTATGTATACACACATGTGCGCAACAGGGAGCTCTGGGTAAGTCAGGTGCCTACTCACCTGGGATGATCCACTAGTGCCCTGCCTGCTGCCTCGGCTCCCTGGGGAACCTCCCCAGCACCGACCAGCAGTGTGCCCTCTGCGGCCACACTTGGTGCAGGAAACCCCCCCTCCGATCACCCTTAGAGCAGCACCTCCGAGCTCCATAGGGGTAGGGTCGGAGGTGCTGGGGGATGGAATGGACGGACCCTGATCCGGACGTCCGCGGGTGGCCAACAGGTTATCCAGCCGTATAGATAGATCCTCCAGCTGGTCGAGGGTAAGGGTGGTGTCCCTGCATGCCAGCTCCCGACGAACGTCCTCACGTAGACTACACCGGTAATGGTCGATCAGGGCCCTCGCATTCCATCCTGTGCTGGCCGCCAAGGTCCTGAAGTCCAGTGCGAAGTCCTGTGCGCTCCTCTTCCCCTGTCTGAGGTGGAACAAGCGTTCCCCCGCCACTCTCCCCTCAGGTGGATGATCGAAGACCGCCCGGAAGTGGCGGGTGAAATCCTCATAGCGAACCGACGCTGCGTCTATTCCTCCCCATTCGGCGTTGGCCCACTCAAGCGCTCTCCCCGACAGACAGGAGATGAGGGCGGACACGCTCTCGTATCCCGAGGGAGCCGGGTGGATGGTCGCCAGGTAGAGCTCCACCTGGAGCAGGAACCCCTGGCACCCGGCAGCCGTCCCATCGTATGCCCTCGGGAGCAAGAGCCGAATCCCACTGGGTCCAGGTGACGGAGGGGTGGACATCGGTGTGGGTTGACCTGAAGTTCATGGGGTTGTGGGAAAACCCCCTCTCTCCCATCGCTCCATGGTCTGCAACACGCAATCCATAACTGTGCCCAGATTCTGGAGCATCGTCGCGTGCTGCTGGACGCGCTCCTCCACTGGTACCGGAGGACTGACTGCACCTGCTGACTCCATATTAGGTGCGTGTTTCTGTCATGTGTCAAATGTGCAGCGGTAGGACAGAGTCAGGCGCAGGACACAGAACTGAGTAAATGACGTACTTTACTCAAAAAATAAACAAACAATCTCCACGCAGGGAAAACACACCAGCTCACATAAGTGAATGACACAAAACAAAGAACAAACACGCACAAAACCATGTGGGAACCAGAGGGTTAAATAGGGAAATAATAATAATAATGCAATGGGAACCAGGTGTGTACAATCAAGACAAAACAAATGGAAAAAGAAACGTAGATCGGTGGCAGCTAGAAAACCGGTGACAACGACCGCCGAAAGCCGCCCGCACAAGGAAAGGCACCAACTTCGGCGGAAGTCATGACACTCGCATGGAATAGCCTTCATTTCTCAGAACAAGAATAGACTGACGAGTTTCAGAAGAAAGTTATTTGTTTCTGGCCATTTTGAGCCTGTAATCGAACCCACAATTGCTGATGCTCCAGATACTCAACTAGTCTCAAGAAGGCCAGTTTTATTGCTTCTTTAATCAGCACAACAGTTTTCAGCTGTGCTAACATAATTGCAAAATTATTTTCTAATGATCAATTAGCCTTTTAAAATAATTAACTTGGATTAGCAAACAACGTGCCATTGGAACACAGGACTGATGGTTGCTGATAATGGGCCTATGTAGATATATATATTTTTTTTAATCAGCCGTTTCCAGCTACAATAGCCATTTACAACATTAACAATGTCTACACTGTATTTCTGATAAATTTGATGTTATTTTAATGAACAAAATAAAATTGCTTTTCTTTCGAAAACAAGGAAATGTCTAAGTGACCCCAAACTTTTGAACGGTAGTGTATGTATGTATGTATACATAAATATGTATATATTATACATGTATGTAAACATTTCAAATTATTTTGGTATCTAATACATTGAACAGGAATTACTAATAGCACTTAAACAGTGGCTAGCTACATAAAGTGTCAGAAAATAACATCACTGTGTAAGTCTAAAGTGCATCTCATTACAATGTGATTTTACAGTGATGTCAACTAAGGAGGTGTCTATCATGATACATTAGGATAGCATGAGTTAGGCAGCAAAACCGATTAACCGGACAGTTTCTGACAAAGAATCGGAACAACACTTGGTTTATGAAATGTCAACATTGTATTCGGAAAGCACAACAATACCATAGCACTCCACAGAACATAGCCGATTTCTGGTATAGCCTCAGTAGATTATATCGCTAACTACTAAATCAATCATGTACATACAACTCAGTCTTCATACCCAATGACTTCAGTTTTTAAACTTCAGGATCATGCTAACTTTTTTTGAAGACATACAGTACAATTCTGAAGTGTAAATTCACATAATTTGTGTTTACTCAAGACCAAGAGTGGCGTTTTTGAGGCACACAAAGACGACACAAAGTTACCGTTTTGACCATCAGGCTCAGACATGGTCACTTTAAAAGGATATGCAGCTTTTGATTTAACAGTGCATAGAGGTACCATGGAAAAGCACTAAGTCCACAGAAAGTTTCCCTGAGGTCCTTGGTTCCTGAGAGTAGAATAACATTGCCCCTAGACGCTAATCTAAGGGCAACATGGCTCGGGTAGGGCTGGGTGATTGAGGAAGAATGATGTAGACTGAATGTTAGGCACTGTTCTTTCAGTGCAAAAGAGCATCAGCTGGTGGTTCTTGCCTTTCTCTGGCTGCTCCAGTGTCCATAGATAAAGATGAGCCCTTAGAGATGGTAATCGATTCATCTCCAGTTCCACTGGATATAAACACAGTACATCAGTTACCAGGCCTTACAAATTGTTTGTGTAAGGTGCTTGCTTAATAGCTAGCATGTTCACCTCCAACGAGAAACAACGGCATGTCCAGCGCAAAAGCAGAGCCATTTTTGCTTGTTTACTACGAAAGCCATACTACTCCAACTGCCAGGGCTTTCCTCTGTTCTCACTCAGGTCCTCTTTGGTTTTCTGGATGCAGGTAAATATCTCCTTGAACAGGGCCTTGTAGTCAGGCTGGTGAAGTTCATCCTCCTGGCCCTTCATGTCTGTGCCTGCAGCCTTGCGAAGGGAGGCTGGGGCTGGGCTTTGTGGGCAGTCAGAGGGGGCTCCGCTGGGCGTCTGGACCTCCTTGTGGTTGTGCTGCTGACTTGGGTCTGGCTGCCCCTGGTGGCAGAGCCGCAGCAGCGCATCATATTTTACCTGCAGAGCGCTGTACTGAGCGTCAACCTCGTTGAGGAGGGAGATCCCACGCTGCTTCACCACCTCTGAACGGCGGATGCACGAACGCTCGTGGTCATGACTCTCGTCTACCTCTGACCCCTCATCCCACGGTGACCTCAGCTGCTTCTCGCTGTTGCATCGCTTCAGGACGTCACAACCTTTCAGCTTGGAAAGGTAGCTGACGTCCATCACGTCTCCCTCGCTCTCGCCATCCTCCCCTATCCCCCTCTCCTGGTTCAGGGGGAAGAAGAGGGTATTGGGCAGCATTGTCAGGCTGACCCTTGACCTCGAAGCTTTGGTGGCATGGTTGGCTCTCCACAGCTGACGAAGCTCCTCAGCCTCACACTCCAGCTCCGCTAGTCTGGCCTAGACAGAGAGTCAGAGAGAGAGAAGGAGGAAGAGAGAGAGAAGGAGGAAGAGAGAGAGAGAGAGGATTCAGTAACTCTTTACTTTACCATTTCACTACATACAGAAGGAGCAAACAGATTGCATTGGCTTGAAATTATTCTGTGTGTGTGTTGCTTCTCTTCCTCACCTGGCACCCCTCCATCATTCCCAGGCGCTGTTCCAGCGCCACATTCTCATTGGCTAGCAGGTCTGCATCTCGCTCCGCCCCCTCCCTCCGAGCACGTTCATTGACCAGCTGGGTCTGTAGGGAGCGGAGCGATCGCCGTAGCGACTCCTGCTCCTCCTCCCGCCACGAGAGGTCAGATGGAGACCAGCGGTCATCAGATTGGTCGCCAGAGTCGTAACTCGAGTATCTGGGAGGGGTCAGAGGAAAATCAAACGTTATTTTTTGGGAAACAACTTTTGTTCCAGTCCAGACCAGCACTTACACACCTAATTAGTCTTATCAAGTTACTGATAAGCTGCCAACAAGTTATTCAAGCATCCGTTTTATGAATTGGTAGCAAGACATCTTGTATCAAACAGACTAATCAGGAGTGATCTTTAGTGCAGGGCAGAGATGAGTGTCCTTACGAGTGGACTATGACCTTTGGGTGACAACTGTGACCACGGTTCAGTGAAGTCAGTAGGGAGAGAGTACTATAGTCTGCTTGGCGTGTGTGTTCATCAGTGACCTACGAGCTTTGACCTGGATTAAAGGAGGGGCCAAGACCTAACTGGATTACACAGTCTGAACTGCTATGGCCGCAGAGGGCAGGAAGAGGGCTAGAATACTAGCAGTAGTACTAGTCTCCTTAACCAGCAGTGGTACTAGTCTCCTTAACCAGCAGTGGTACTAGTCTCCTTAACCAGCAGTGGTGTACGGCAAGAGAGGTAACACAGAGACAGAGACAAATCACACTGCTAGAGCAGGGCCAAGAGGAATGAATGCCATCTAGAGTAGGGCTTAGGGCCTTAGGCCATCTAGAACAGAACTAATGGCAACTTCAGGTGGGCTAGTCTTCTCTACGTATTTTCAACAACAAAAAAATATCAATTTGCAGCTTAAAAACAATGAATAATTCACAAGCTATTGAGCTCTAAACGCATAAAATGTTAATCAATTGAGCGTAATTTTCCATTTGATGAATCTGACCTTATTGTGCCATGTCCATTTAACCCCATGCAGACCCGACTGATCTATATAGCTTTATATAACGTCAGAAAATTAGGTGAAGGAGAGAGGGTAGAGGAGAGTTCAGACAGGAAGTAACAGAGAGTAGCTAGACACCAGCTCCAGTAAGAGGATAGCACCGATTCTATCTTTGACAGACCAGTGCTGGCCCACTTGTTAAAGTAGGGGGTTCAATGAACAGTACAGATTGTCCAGATCTAAATTGGTGTGTTGTGTGGGTTATCTGTGTATTTCATGAGTGCTGTGATCTCACCTGTGTGTGGGTTGCTGAGTGCTGTGATCTCACCTGTGTGTGGGTTGCAGGTCATTCAGACAGGACACACTCTGCGCCCCGTAGGGCCGATATGACTCTGTAAGGGGTTGCCTATGGGGATTGGCAGGGGCGGTCTTCAAATTTTCGACCTGACATTGAAGATCCTCCATCTGGGTCTGCAGAGCCTCGATCATCTCTGTCAGCCTGAAAAGAGACAGAAAAGAATCCTCACACATTTAGCTCTCCTCTCACCAACACACAATGTTTACCATTCCATCTCTATTCTCTGGAGAAAGACTGTGTCCCGATTCTCCAACTCACCATGGATTTAGATGCATAGGATTTGCATAAGCATAGGCTGGAGGGAGTTTCCACCATTGTTAGATCCATGTGAGAAAGTGCACGAGAAGGGTGAAGAATTGGGACACAGCCTCAGGCTTTCAACCCAACAACAGGCTTACCCCTGGATCTTGTGCTGGGCGGCCCGGTTGTCCTGTACCAGGCGGGTGTTGCTTTGCTCCAGCTCTCTGGAAGACTGGTCTAGCTGCTCGTACACCTTAGCATGCTGGTCATTCACCTGCCTCAGGAGGTCCATCTGCTTAGTCAGGTACTGGAGAAGGAATATAGAGGAGTAGAAAACAGTACTCAATATCATCACATAACCCACCTTCAACTTCACATAACCCACCTTCAACTTCACATAACCCACCTTCAACTTCACATAACCCACCTTCAACTTCACATAACCCCACTTCAACTTCACAATTTTACGTTGAATCAAGATTACACCATGTACTTGTTCAAGTCAATACGATTGGTTTTAAGCCACTAGATTCAAGGCATACACATGATTTACTTCGGTTGCTTGTCCAACCATGAACGAGATCAAACTTGCCAGAATCAAATGACAACTACCTCCTAGCTGTGCGACTATTATTGCTTTGCGAGCAACATGTCTGTACTAGCGTCTGCGCTGTCTAAATGAGCATTTGTAAGAGCGCAACACCTCTGGTGAGATGCCGACTCCTGAGGAATGTAGAACGGCACCAACACAAAGTAAAAGGTCAGGCTCTTCTTATTAAGACATGATGATTCAGACTGAGGTGCTAAAGACATGATGATTCAGACTGAGGTGCTAAAGACATGATGATTCAGACTGAGGTGCTAAAGACATGAGCACAGTGGTGCTGGGATAACATAACTATCTCTCCCTCACACATCGTTTATCTCCTTCTCCCCCATACTCTTTTCTCTCCATCTTCCCTCTCTTCTCTCGCTCTGCCCTTTTCCTTTGAGAACAGTTTATCTTATCAGGGTAAAACAGGGAGAATGCCATACATTTTAGTCATTTAGCAGACGCTCTTATCCAGAGCGACTTACAGTTAGTGAGTGCATACATTTATTTTTATTATTATTATTTTATTTAAATAAATAGACAATAGAACAGTTTATCTTATCAGTGTGAAACAGGGAGAATGCCATAGACATAACAGTTCTATCTATGGAGAATGCTGTGAACCTTAAGCTCATTAAGATCCTGATCAGCCACAGCAAAACACCAATCCAAACCAATACTACAATAATACATTGGAGCTGTGCATTATCTTGTGATGCTATTCACTTACATAACAACGTATTCTTTGGAATTCTGAAGGTTAATCATAAAATTATGAAAAAGTGGCAATTATCTATAGTGTTTTTCCTAGAGTGAGAGAGGCCAATGTTCTCCTATAGGGAAGATAACATTATAATTCACAGCATCAGCTTCCTCCTGTGCCGTTTCTACATGCAGTCAGATCATGAAATGGATGGCACCGTTAGAGAGATTCATTCTGTCAGTCAGCAGTTTCAGAGACGAGGGGAAGGATTTAGGAGTTGACCCTACTCAGGGAAATTAAATCCAGAGCTCATATGGAAGTAAGTGGCTGCTGCTGACCATACAAGATGGTTTCACTAGTGATATAAGAGAGAAACCACAAAGACTGTGAATGTGATATTTAAATACAACTTAACTGGTTAAATATTTAGATTCTCTAGCATTGAGAGGCTATTTAATCTATAGTTACTTGGAGTCACAACAATTCAATGGTGGCAATGTGAGCGTTTTGGTACAAAGGTATGTCAGAAAAAAAAAAGAGGACAACTGATATGGGCCGTCTTTATCTTTCCTGGTCCTCTTAAAGTTCACTGAACAAGGTGAAAAGCAATGAGGTATGCTGTTTTCAAAGGAGTGAGATCCCCACGGTTCCTCTACTGTTTGATAATGGTGGTGTTGTAATCCTGTACACGGAAAAACTAAACGAAGGACCGTGTAAACACTTGTTCTTTGGGGCTTTATAGTATCGAAAAACAAAGACAAGGATTGGAATATAGATTTTGCAGCCTTGTCTTGACAAAACCATTTCAGTCAAAACGTATGCATTATACATTTCCCATTCTATTCCATTACCTTTGTGCTTCTAGGGTCATACCCTACATGGACCCATGGTAAACAACAGGTCCAGCAGAGAGATTAAGTAATCAATCAACCTGGATCCGACCCTCTAATCTCTGCTCCAAAGTAAATTAATGGTAGCCTGCCTTTTGTCAATCTGGAACACTTGATTTGATTTAGGAATTAAAGGAGCACAAATCTGAGGTGAGTTTCTCTTGTTTTCAACACGCAAGGAACAGACTCTAGCCTAACAGAATGACAGCCTAACAGACTGTAGCCTAACAGACTGTAGCCTAACAGAATGACAGCCTAACAGAATGACAGCCTAACAGAATGACAGCCTAACAGAAAGACAGCCTAACAGAAAGACAGCCTAACAGACTAGCCTAACAGAATGACAGCCTAACAGAATGACAGCCTAACAGAATGACAGCCTAACAGAAAGACAGCCTAACAGACTGTAGCCTAACAGAAAGACAGCCTAACAGACTGTAGCCTAACAGAATGACAGCCTAACAGAATGACAGCCTAACAGAATGACAGCCTAACAGACTGTAGCCTACCAGAAAGACAGCCTAACAGACTGTAGCCTAACAGAATGACAGCCTAACAGACTGTAGCCTAACAGAAAGACAGCCTAACAGACTGTAGCCTAACAGAAAGAGAGCCTAACAGACTGTAGCCTAACGGAAAGACAGCCTAACAGACTGTAGCCTACCAGAAAGACAGCCTAACAGACTGTAGCCTAACAGAAAGACAGCCTAACAGACTGTAGCCTAACAGAAAGACAGCCTAACAGAATGACAGCCTAACAGAAAGACAGCCTAACAGACTGTAGCCTAACAGACTGTAGCCTAACAGAAAGGCCTCAGGTTCGTCAACTAGTGCTTGATTACCTGGATAGTGTGCTAGTGCTGAGCTAGAAGAAAAGCCTGCAAACACTACAATAACTCTCCGAAAGCACCTATAGCTGTACACTGACTTCTGATTGGTCAAACCGAGTTACCGCTACCCTTGTAGCTACAGCCTGATTGGTTAAAACCCTTACCTCTATCTCCTGTAGCTGTTCCTGATTGGTGGAGTACATCTGCTGAAGACCCTGCTCCAGCTCACTGTTCCTGTCCAGCAGGGTCTTCCCCAGCTCAGCAGCCAGGTGGAGGTCTGCATGGGAGGAAAGAGAGATCACAGAAGAGGTTCTATAAATGACTTATCAAATGAAAGATTGGGCAAAGATGCAGCCATTGGTGTGACAAGAACTGGCAGAGACACCTAGTGCATCTATGGCTGTGTCTGTGCCTCAATTCTCAATGTTAGGTGGATAAATCTATCTTGCAGACATCCTACCTGGGTTCGTGGGTCAAATACATGTTACTTGTGCTGCCCTTGATTTACAGTAGTTTGCCTACAATGGAACCGATGGATCATGGTCCCAAAAGGGATAAATCAAGCGCACCTCTAATATATTTGAGATATTTAGTCTATTTGACCTAAGTCAGGACATTTACAATCAGAAAGGTAAAGAATATGTCTACCTTCATCACTGTGGCCTAATTCATACATTTTAGTCATTTAGCAGACGCTCTTATCCAGAGCGACTTACAGTTAGTGAGTGCATACATTTTTCATGCTGGCCCCCCGTGGGAATCAAACCCACAACCCTGGCGTTGCAAGCACCATGCTCTACCAACTGAGGTACACAGGGCCATACGTTGTGAAACGGTCTCTCATTTACAGGATGTGTGATGGGGAGTTTATCTCTGAGCATGAAATATAAACTGAATATCTTCTAATCTAGAGAGCACCACTATATATTTCCTGATTTCCTTTCCTTATAGTTCTATTCCAGAATTAATTAATAAATAGTCAATGAAAGATCTTGAACAATGCAAATTTGTGGAATAAAACCTTATTATATGCAAAGTAATCTCTGCAGCATGCGTAAAAGAGTCTGCCCACATCTGGTTTTCAGCGGAAAAGAAAGCTACTGTAGGTTGAATTTAGCTGCCTTGAAAACCGTATGCATCTGGTTGTTGGAAACTCCGCTAAGGGTGTGTTAACCATAGACGATAGAGGACTCATCTTTGGATCTGTGCCATTATTGTGCCTGTGACAGCGCCATTGAGGCAATCTCCATTTTGAAGTAGTCAGTTTTCTTCACGATTGGCTGATCCCTCCTGATGACCCGGTGGGACATTTGGCTGATCCCTCCTGATGACCCGGTGGGACATTTGGCTGATCCCTCCTGATGACCCGGTGGGACATTTGGCTGATCCCTCCTGATGACCCGGTGGGACATTTGGCTGATCCCTCCTGATGACCCGGTGGGACATGACTCCAACAGGGTCACCAGGAGGGATCAGCCAATGAAGTTGGAAGTCCCAACCAGTTGACTACACATAAAAATGGTGGAATCCTCAATGGCGCTGCTCATGCTAATACAGCCTTTTGGCCACTAGAGGCCTCTATCATTCTCTATGGTGGTAACCCATAAATAAAATATCGTATAATTTGGTCAAACGCGTAATTAACTCCCTTGGTATACGTCCCTACCCTTAACCATTTAACATTTCAACTGCAATGGGGTAGAGACGTCCCAAGGGGCCCGGATAGCAGGTACTCTTGGTCTACACGCAGAATCTGCCCACGGGAGAATACATGCAGAGAAGAACATTTACAAATGTGTAGAAAATCTAAGACAAAGGATGCATTGTTTCAAATGGTTGGTTACATCCGTGGCAGTGGAATGATAGCATCGGGTGTGCCAATTCTGCTTGAGATAACCTTGAAATATTTGGCTGAAATCCAACAGTGTTTAGTAGGTTAGAGTTAAACCTACCGATGTGTCCTGTAAAGTACATTCGTTAGTGACACCTGCACTATGAAAGAGGGGGTGCACCAAGCGCTCATTGATTCCACACCTGCTTGAAAATAAATTATTAGCCTAACGCTGCCTGAGTGTCAAATTGTAGTCACTGCCAGGTTGTAGCGCTCATTTGATACGCACAGCACAGGTGAGCCCGCGCTTTCACAGTCTCGGTCATCATGGATAGAATCATCATATTTACCATGCTCAAGGTCCTGGTTGTCATACCAAGGTTCTTCCTCCTTAATTTCGAATTCTTCCACCTCAATCATATCTGTAAGCATCTTTGGTCACAACGACTCACCGACATCAATAGCCTTCAATGGAATAGGAAGCTATTTTCGCGAAAAATGCATTAATCTGCCTTTGAGGTGTTCAAATTGCAACCACAAATACACCAAGTGCGTTACCCCTCATCAGCTGGCGCTGTCCAAAGCCGATGTCTACTCACCGGCTACAACTACAGTATGATGAAACTGCCTAACCATCCCACAGCACATATTACCGGTGTGGTGAGATATCTCTATCGGTTGGAATACGACGATACGAGCGTTAATTTCAAAGAGCGCTCGGTAAGCCACGCCCAAGTGGGCAGAGCTAGGCATGTTGCCCTGCGACACGTTTTAATTACGTTTTACATTTTAGTCATTTAGCAGACGCTCTTATCCAGAGCGACTTACAGTTAGTGAGTGCATACAGTTTTTTTTTCTTCATAATATGGAGAAAAGCCTCTGATTTTACAATGGGTCCGCCGTGGTTCTGTGTAGCCTAGTTATGCTAATATATTTGAGACCAGTGTATCGCAGTTAATTTTGTCTTTGACTCCACAAGTAAAATATATTTGAGTTGTAAACAGGGAAACAACTACGAGTCCCAGACAGTATATGTATACTTTTTAAAAGGTTCCTCAGGCAAAAGGTTCCTGCAGGCACCTTTAGGGGTTCCGCCCGTTTTGCAATCTCAGGAACCCCTAAAGGTGCCTCCAGGAACCTTTTCTTTTTGGAGTGTAGAACATACCAGAGGGGTGCATCGTTTACTACCTAAATTATTGGGATCATCTGGTTACCACCAGTGTTTGAAATACATTGAGCTCGTTGACAAAACGCCTTTTCACACGGAGATATATTTGTCAAAGTTCCGCAGTGGGTCTGTGTAAACTATGCGATTATATTGGAGACAGGTTTATAGCAGTGAATGTCGTCTATTAATGTATTGTTAAAGTACTTAACAACTAGGGAAAGTAATTGTTCTGGCTTTATGATAGAACATTCTGATTTTTTAGCCTGACTGTGGCGCTCTTTACCTCATTTGTTAAGATTTTTTGTGATCATAACAAAGCTACTTATTTTTACTCAAATAGAGATAGAATTATATTGTGTTTTCTTTGAAAAGTTCGAGCCCTGAATGCTGATTGGCTGACAGCCGTGGTATATCAGACCTTATTCCACGGGTATGACAAAACATTTATTTTTACTGCTCTAATTACGTTGGTAACCAGTTTATAATAGCAATAAGGCACCTCTGGGGTTTGTGATATATGGCCAATATACCAGGGGTAAGGGCTGTGTCCAGGCACTCCAAGAACATCCCTTAGCCTGGTATATTGGCCATATACCACACCTCCTCGGGCCTTATTGCTTAAATGTAACTGTCAATCTGCTCGAACATAATCTTTTCCATGACCTTCGATAAAACACACAGGATTGAGACAGGCCGATAATTTCCATGATATAACTTATTCCCTTTTTTATATAAAGGAATGACCCTTGTGAGTTTTAGTTCACTGGGAAAACACCCTAGTCTGTGAAAACAAGTGCACATGATTCTTTCAGTGATGTCTACTCCAGCCAACCTTTATGGGCTATCCTCTGAATATAGCCTACCTATTAAAGACAGTTATCACAGACATTATACATAAAATATTCAATACTTTTTATTTACACTTGAAACAAGTGGGCCATATGCACGAGAACAGGCCGGGGGGTCTCATAGGGATCAATTAAAGCACAAATGTTTTGGGTGTGATTGGCGGAAAAAACCCTACCATTGTAGAATATACTACACTACAGCATACATATAATAGTCTAGTATCTATCTGACAGTAGCCTATATATAACACAGTGCCACAATTGGCACAGCGTCGTCCAGGGTAGGGGAGGGAATGGCCGGCAGGGATGTAGCTCAGTTTGTACAGCATGGCATTGGCAACGCCAGGGTTGTGGGTTCGATTCCAGTATGAAAAAAAATAAAATAATGTATGCACTCACTAACTGTAAGTCGCTCTGGATAAGAGCGTCTGCTAAATGATATAATCGCATAGTTTACACAGACCCACTGCGGAACTTTGACAAATATATCTCCGTGTGAAAAGGCGTTTTGTCAACGAGCTCAATGTATTTCAAACACTGGTGGTAACCAGATGATCCCAATAATTTAGGTAGTAAACGATGCACCCCTCTGGTATGTTCTACACTCCAAAAAGAAAAGGTTCCTGGAGGCACCTTTAGGGGTTCCTGAGATTGCAAAACGGGCGGAACCCCTAAAGGTGCCTGCAGGAACCTTTTGCCTGAGGAACCTTTTAAAAAGTATACATATACTGTCTGGGACTCGTAGTTGTTTCCCTGTTTACAACTCAAATATATTTTACTTGTGGAGTCAAAGACAAAATTAACTGCGATACACTGTCTCAAATATATTAGCATAACTAGGCTACACAGAACCACGGCGGACCCATTGTAAAATCAGAGGCTTTTCTCCATATTATGAAGAAAAAAAAAATGTATGCACTTATCGTATCTGAAGATTATGCCTTTGTTAAATGTTTTTCATGACGAAATGGAATGTTGGTTGTTTAGGCCAGAGGGGGGATGGTTTATGATGTTATTTGAAATGTGCCGCTTGGAGGGGGACGCCCGAGGGGAGACTGGTGATTGGCCAGAAGAGGGGAGTCACTCCTCTTCTTGCATGGTTTATAAATAGGGGGTAAACGATGAGACGGCAGAACGGCCATAGCAATCTGGGAGCCGTTCTCCGGACATCGCGAGTCTGTATCTATGCTGTAAATTCGTGATTTTAATAAAAGCCTCTAACACGATGCAGCATGGCGAACTCTTTGTTGACAAGCAATAATTGCCACCATTCATCATATACGACATAATGGCGCCCAACGTGGGGCTGGTTTTGCGTCTCTTCCTTGTTTCAGTCAACCGCCGGCCTGACTCTCTCTGAAGCATGGCCGAAAAAAGGGTGAGTGTCCTTACTGCTTCGGAGTTTGTTAGATTGGATATGACTTGTGTACATTGAAGAGATGTTCCATTATAACCTGGCCTCAGGTGGCGTTGTTGCTGGTCGACTGGAGTCGGCTAAAATGTGATGTCATTGGTAACTATAGACAATGATAATTTAGAGTGAGACATTTATATTTCATTGGTAACTATGGGCAATGACAAATTTAGAGCAAAAGGAACGGTATAATTGCGATGATTTCATTGGTAACGCGTGACAATGATTGGTAAATTATTTCATTGGTAACTATGGTCAATGGTTGGTAAATTCAGATATGCGCATTCTTTAGAGCATTGCAGGTTTAGATAAGCCCTCGTGACGAGGCGACCACAGGGTGGGCCAAAATCCTGGACATGCATTATGAGTGTTCAGGTTCAGTCTGGGACTGGGGGTTGGTGGGACATTTCTTGGGGATGGCTTACTCAACTTCTGTTCGACGGGATAGTTGCATTGGGGGGGATCGCTCACTGAAATAGCCATACCCACGGCAGAATAAATTTAGGGCAAACGAAACAGTACTCAATTAAAGGAACGCAATGCTGGGTTTTGTTACATGTTGTAGGAAGCAGTTAGCAATGGCTAACTGCTAAATGCTAAGTGTGTTGTGTGCTACATGATAACTGTAACCTAAGAGGTCCACTGCGATGGATTCAAGCCTCTTAAACTTGTTTGTATGTGGTGGAACTGAAAGTTCTACGCAAATGTGAGCTCTGTTATGTGTAATTGTGTGAGTATAAGGTATAAAATAGTGACGCTGTAGCGTAACGCTATCGTTCTGTTGTGTGGTAAGCATGGGTTTTTGAATGGATGTGCGCATGCGTTTAATTTTGCGATACTACCCGACAAAAAGGGGGAGTTTATGACACGAGATTAGGACACGTGTTGATTTTACGGGGCTAAAAACTACGAAATGAGGTTGGGCTAAGCCTACAAAACAAAATGGTGGCTTAAGGTCATAGGTCCCATTTGGCGTTACCCTGCAAGGGAAGACAGACAGAGGATGAATTTTAACACGATGATTCTAGTTTAAACTGCGATTGGTTAAAGATGAAACTTGTTTTGTAGCCTATTGAATTTATAAATTAAATATAGGATAACGGATTATCATAGATTGAATTAAATAATTAAATGACGGATTGAAAGCAAAAGGTTTTTGGGCGATCTATAATTAGTCCTGAGTTAAAGTCTTACAGTGAATCATGTAGAACAAACGAATATTGAATGGTTGGAGATACTCAGTGACTGCATTAACGACTAAAATGTTATGTTGTGTCTTTGTTCTTCTGTCATATGAGAGGAACGCTAAGCGAGAGGAGCGAGGAGATACAGGAAGTGATCACGTCACGTGGCAGAGGATCAAGTCAAAAAGGTTTTGGTACTGATTATGGTTACAAAATCTTTCCCTAACAGGATATGTGATGTTATGACCATTTCGCATAGGCGTGGCAAACTGATTCATTAAAAATTGCATTTTGGAAGCTGTGTATCACTGGGGTTTAATTACAGATGTGTTGGGAATCCAGGATGGATTGAGGATTCTTCTGTAAATTTATGATAATTAGGGGTTAGAGCAAGGGGTTAAAGGCTTTGTTTATGGGTATTGTAGTATGAAGTTTACTAACTTCATTTACTTGCAGTTGATGGGTTGTGGTAAGATAGCTAACACTAATTGATAAATAGGTGACATAGGAATAAAAATTGGTTTTAATTATTCATGATTTTTAATTGATTTATTTGAATTTATTTGGAGTTGTTTAGGGTTATGTTAATAATTTAAGGGGGTAAGCTTTAGGCTATACAGTCTAGAATAATATAGTTCACAATAAAGGAATTTAAAAGGGCTTGATATAGGGGAAAATTGATTAAAATAGTCATTTTTTAATCAAAGTAATCAAAGTAGGGTTAGAGTAGTGTTAGGAGAGACTAATGGCAGAAGTTAGTACACCTTTTTCACATATGGATTCAGCAAAAAGACATCATCCAGCAGGGTGATTATGGC